CTTTTCAGGAAGCAAATCAATCTTCTTATTAAATGATGAAAGTTTGCTCCCTTCAGATTTAGTATCTGACTTAACATCTGCAGCAGGTTCATCCGTCTTCTCAGCAACTGTGGGAGCAGAAAGCTTCTTCTTGGTGAATAGTTTTTCTTCCAAGTTCACAACGATTGGGCCAATTACCAAATCCAAATTCTTGACTCCAACTCCTTTACCCCTAAAGGGATTATCAATAATGATAAGAATTGGAGAGACTCAAATGAATGTCATGTATTGAGGCCCAATGGACTAATATAGGGTAGCTGCTGATATATATGTAAGTGCAAGAGATGAGCTAAAGCAAGCAGGCAGATTGGCGGTGGTATTACAGTAGCAAACATATATTTACTCTGGTGAAATGAGAAGTTTGGGGTACTGGTGTGTTCTACACCCATCCCCATTCCATAGGATCTTCTGTGGCTGCATACATGTATATGTATATGTTCCTGTCGTATGTAATATTCTCCTTTTTTTTCAAAAGAAAAATGGCATTCTTCGAACATGTGCAGATGTGGGTCAATTGATTTCATGAGGTCATGTAAACTACTTTTGGATCACATAGTTTATTTATTTACCATCCTTTGCAATATTTGGGCACTACACTAGTACCCTTAAAATAATACTTCAATTTTTACTCTTTCGAAGCAAACTAGCAAGGAAAAAGGGCAATTACAGTTTACTTGATTGAATCAGTTCAACTGGGTTTTCTGGAAAAGAATGGCTAAGGTAAGCTTGAGATAGGCACAGAAAAATCTTTGTATAGATATAAATCTGATGGAATATGGTGTAGCCTTGTGGTATTAATCATCCTGATTTTTAGTAAACACTAGGTGACTAAAAATGCACATACCCTTTCAAGCTTACCTCTAAGTTCCGAACAACAGGTATGAGTGGAAAGTGGAATATCAAAGGCACGGCTAAGTGTTATTCATAAGGCGAAAACATCATTGCAATGACTATCAAGCTTAAGTTGAATCACAGGTGATGTTGCCAGTCCTATAGTTGCATCAAGCACCCATACATATGTGAAACAGCGATAATAAATCGCTTCCTCTTTTTAATCAAAGCAACCATTGCCTTCATCAGTGTTTATCTATCTAAATGAATCTCATATTTTACTCTTAAGAATTTTTTTAGTATAGATTGGTCACTGGTCAATAAAGGTTGCAAAGCTTTCTTTTAAGGGGTTACCTCTGATGAAGATCACACAAGAGTACTATATCCTCAAACAAGAAAGAGCTACAGTCAGCTGTGTCCATGGCTGAACAGTATTGTCCACTGACCCACCAATCCAATTTGCTAAATACTGATGTACTGTTGTCAATGCCATCTGGTTCTAATGCTTGCACAAATAAAGGTAAGATATGTATTTCAACATTGAGAATTGGATCCAATCCTCCAGTTTTTGATAAATCAATCTTAAGGTCCTTGATGCCGAGAGCAGCTTTTGGAGCCTACAATAAGTTATTACCAAATAGTCATCAGAATATACAAGACAAACAAACAAACACTCAACAAAATTTCAAGTCACTGTGACTCTTGTTAAACCCTCATGTCCCTAGAGAAACAGCGTGATTTGCAAACAGTAAATGAGAATATATTGGGAGAGGAACGTGAGCATAAAATTCAGCAGTAATAAATAGATTAAATAGATAATCATTTTTCAACATGAACCTATTCATACAACCAGAACATAAAAATTAGAAGACATACGGCTTGAATTCAATTAATCGACATTTATAATGTATTTGACAAGGTGGCGGTACCTTGAACCTCAGCTCCACTATAGAAAGCGACAAAAGACTGGCAATGTTTGTTATAAGCCTCCATTTCCCTTGTCCTTTCGGCTTTCCTTTTCCTTTTGCCGGTGAGGTCGAGGTTGATTTGCGAGGGGGAGGTTTCTTTTTCTTAGCAGATTTTGCAGGTTGCCTGAGCACAATGTCCAGGTCAGAGATTTGCAATTGCAGGATAGGGCCATGGTTTAGTATGGTAAATCCCAGTTGGGTGAGTGGCCTTCGCAGGCCAAGTCTAATTTCACCTACACAGATGGAGTCAACTGCACCCTGAAAAGCGAAGCACACGAGAATCAATCGCACACATCGGCATTGGCATCGGCATCGACAGCAGCATGAAGTACCAAGAATTGATTGATGAAACTAGGCAGGCAGATTAGGTACCTTTGGGGATTTTATGGTGATGTCCCTGAGATAATTGAAGCTGAAGGAGCGGCATCCGATGGAGAGCTTGGCCGTGCGCCGAAGCACCCAGGCCACAACCCTGGCAAGGAAGCTGCAATAGGATCGAAAGCATTAGATTCATTCTTAGTTATTTCTTTTTTTTTTTCAGAAAAAAAAAAGGAAATAGTACATTGATCATCCCCTCTGAAGTCTGAAGAGAGATATCAGACAGCATATATGGAATTGAGCGATGAAACTGAAACCGGAGCAGGAGGCGGGGGTTTGGTGGGGGGAGGAGGGGACGTACAGGGCGGCAACGAAGGAGGCGGCCACGGCGAGCGCGGCGGCGAGGGCGAACTTGAACAAGGAGAGGAGGAGGCCGTGGCGGAGGACCAGCTCGACGGCCTCCCAGGCGACGACGAACGCCACCAGCAGCTGGACCAGCCCGACGACCATCATCGCTGCTGCCGATGCTGCTGCTGCCCCTTCCTCCTCCTCCTCCTCCTCCTCGCTGCTGCTGCTCCTCCTTCTGCTGCCGCATTCACCCGTCGACCATCACACGGCGAGGTCTCGCGGTGGCGGTGGTGGTGGCGGAGGAGGATCCGATCGATGGGTGGATGGGGAGGAGACGACGAGGTGGGTGGAAGTGGAGGGGGGGAAGCGAGAGCGGAAGCGAAGGGATCGCACGCGGAGGAGGAGGAGGGGGAGTAAAGTAATGGTGCGGAGGAGAGGAGTGGAGAGGAGGTGGCGCGCCATTTCCGGAGGCGAGACCGCGAGAGGGGAGGGGAGGGGAGGGGGAAGGAGATGACGAACGAAGATCACGAGGGAAGGAGGGAGGGAGGAGTGGCACCACGCACGTCTGAAGCCTCCAAACATAACCGTTGCTTTTTTTTGTTTTTAGCATTTGCTATTAGATCCTTAAAAATATATAAAGTTTTTTTAGCATTTGCTTTTAGACCCTTGAAAAAATACTCCCTCCGTTTCACAATGTAAGTCATTCTAGTATTTCTCACATTCATATTGATGACTTTTCCCATATTCATATTGATGTCATCAATATAAATGTGAAAAATGTTAAAATGACTTACATTGTTAAACAGAGGCAGTATATAAAAGTTTTATTTACAAATTATTTTTCGTTTGCAAATATACCTAATAAACCAAACGATGGCCCAGTGAGTTAAAACCGGTAAAGAAATTTCCGTCGTCCGTACAGAGAAAAGAAAAATACGCGCGAATAAAAAAGTGCGTGCAAAAATAGTTTCTGTCCGATTCCAAAATAAAAAAAAATTCCGAGCGAAAAAAGAGTTTCCATCTTCCTACAAAAGGAAAAAATAGTGCGAAAAAAAAGTTTCTATCCGAAACACGCGCGAATAAATACCTAACTAAAAAATAAATATCTATCTCTAAAAAACCTTCTGTCGTAAAAAAAGAAAAAAAAAACCGACTCCCGTAGAGAAAAAAAAGTCCGACTCCTGAAAAAGAGGATTTCTCGTCCGTAATAAAAAAAAGGAAAAAAAACGTTCGACTCAAAATATGTAAAAAGAAAAGGAGGAAAAAACGTCCCAACCAAACTTAAAGTCGCCCCTTGTTGTCCGTATATATCTCTTTAACTCTAATCTAATCTATCAATCTAATCTAACTTTTTAAAAAGAGAAGTTTCCATCATCAGTTAAAAAGGAAAAAATACGCAAGAAAAAAATAGTTTCCAAAAAAATGCGCGGGAAAAATACGGTTTCCTTCGTCTGAAAAGAACAAAAAAATGCTATTAAAAACTATCAGAAAGAAATACACCATTTCTAAAAAGAAGGTTTCAAAAAACCACACAAGAAAAAAAACGTTTATAAAAAAAAGCCGCTCTGAAAAAACTAATAGATGAAACACTGTTTATAAAAAAAACAGATAAAAAAACAAACGGACTCAACGCGCGAAAAAAAACCGTTGTTTCAAAATAAGGTTCGAGAAAACCGTCTGGCTTAACGTGAGAAAAAAACCATCATTTCCAAAAAAAAAAAAAGTTAGAGGAAACCATCCAACTCAACGCGAGAAAAAAACCGCCGTTTATAAAAGAACCGCTCCGAGAAACCGTCCGACTCAAAGCGAGATAAAAGTGATGGACGCTTGGGTCAGATAAGATCCATCGATTTTTTTTCCATCTCCTACACATCATTTGTTTCCTCATCTAATCTCCTGCATTGGAGACCCTGCACTTTTTGAATGCAATTATCATTATCAGACTTTTTTTTAAGTACAGCTAATATTCTTAATAACATATTATATGGAAATAGTATTAAAAATAAACATATTTTTAATTGTTATTTAGAGAAGAGTGCACGGTGACTATTTTGTGTAGACTTGATCCTGACTGTAGGATTTGATTAACCTATTATTGGTTGCAAGAATAAGATTGAAAGAATATTTTAGATTATATGTATGTTGTTATATGAATAATCCAATTATTTTAGTTAAAGCAAGCATTGGTAAAAAGATTGCCATCATCGAGTTTGGGTCATTACATAAATTACATAAAGATGCTCTAATTTTCTAATTGTGTTAGCTACAACGATCCATAGAGTGCGCTTGAAAAATGTCTATTGTCATTGGATTATATTTTTTACCCGTTGCAACACACGGGCATTTTTGCTAGTCAATATAAATGTGAAAAATGTTAGAATGACTTACATTATGAAACAGAGGGAGTATATAAAAGTTTTATTTACAAATTATTTTTCGTTTGCAAATATACCTAATAAACCAAACGATGGCCCGGTGAGTTTGGAAGGGATATGCTTGAGGCTTAACCGGAACGTTTGAACATAAACCAGAAGCAACACAATTACAACGATCACTTGCAGTCCAGGAAAATTCATGTCAAGTAACAGGAAGGCAGGCATGAAGCTAGGTGAATTTCTATTTTCTAGCATGGCATTGCAACAGTGGCACAAATCAATTGGCTGCTGAGCATGATTAGCCTCATTTGGATGATGAATCAGGAACCGAGTACAAAGTTCATCGTGTCTGGCAAAAACGGCAGCTCTGGCCTCTGGCCCTGGCCAAAGGTGCAAACATTTCTACAGAGTGGTTACAGAAACATTCACTCACTTCCTCCCTTTGTTCTTCCGTTTACCCTTTGCAGCACCTCGCTTCTGGTCGCCCTTCTTAGATTTACTCTTATTCCTGAAGGTTCTCTTCGATGGCTTCTTCTTTACACCTAGACTAGCACTCTTCTTGGAGACGCTCTTGTTGGCGTAGCCCGTCGATGCAGGGGTGATCCTTTTCGGGCCAAGGTCTTCATCGTCATCTTCAGGAGTGATTTCGCTCGTGGTGACCGTAATTTTAGTCCCACCATCTTCGTATGTTTTTACTTCTACATAAACAGAACAACTTATGAATAATAGGATAAGAAGTCATGGTTGTACAAAGGTAGCATGGCAAGAGCTGTTACTAAAATCTGGTCAATGGTCTCACCAGGTTCAGGCAAATCATCAGTTTCCATTTCATCACCATCATTCTCAACATCTTCACCATCAGCATTATCTGATGACAGGACTCTTCCATACAGCGCAATTTCTTTCTCTTGCTTTCTCTGGAACAAAATGACATCACTCAGTAAAACCACAAGGAAGTAATCTGGATTGTATAGTTCATGTTATAAATCAGCCACAGTAAACACACTTAAGCATAATCCACTTGAAACGACACTAAAGCCTTGCCCCTCCAGTGTCATCCCTACAATTCTCTCTTGGTCTAGTCCGTTTTCTAATCCAAGAAGATCTGGGTTTGATGATACTTTTTCATACGAAAAAATGAGAATTATGTACCCATAACAGAAAGCAGGTACCCACACATAATTCAGCTGTGAAGACTGCGTTACAAACAGCCGCTAAGCTAGGCGCTACGGGTGAAATTAACTGCTTTTGCTGCTATGCTGACTATTTCAGAAACGGCTGGCTGCCAAGTCTAGCAGTCGACACCTCAACTGAAATAACAGATATAAACGGTTTTGCCAAAGAAAGTACTGCCCAAAGTTAGCTATTGCGTTGGAGATTAAGGCTCTTAAGAAAATGCTCTCTTTAAGCATCTGCCTAAGCATCTATCTGCACAGGCCCTTATGTGCTGCAAGTAATTGCAAGCACCTTCCTTTCAGTTTCAATACGCTAATCTTGCAAGCACCTTTCTTTCAATTTCAATACACTAATCCTGACGAATCTTCACGATTCCCTTATCATTGCTACTACAATAGCAATGTATGTATTATTAGTAGCATGAACCTAACATAAGTGAATCAATGTTTCAATAAGAAGTACATCTATTCAGCTTTATATTCTTTTCAGTGATGATTTTCCTAAACTTCCTACTGTTGGAATCATAAAAAAGCGCATTCTAAATTTCTAATTTGCATAAACTGCCATTCACCGATAAGGATCCTACAGTCAGCTCGGTGGTAATAAGTGATCTCACAAAGAAGTACTCAATGCGCAACCAATCTTCTCCGGGATAATTTTGCCTTTGATCAGAAGTAATCCAATATTATCTTCCACATCCAAAACAAGGGGAGGTTACTCACCCGCTTGCGCTCCTCGATTCGCTTCTTTCTCTCCTTCTCCTGCAAAATCTTCTGCGCCTCCTTTCTCCTCTTCTTCTTCCTCTTGTGAAATCCGGTCACGAAATCCCTAGCATTCCAAAAAAAAAAATTACACACGATTCGTTAAAAAACCTCTTCGCGCTACTCTCATCAGAAAACTACTCCACCGAGGGGCCGAAAATATCGCTACGAATCAAAGAAAAGATTAGAGGACGGACTTGAGGGCTTTCTTGTCGAGGGAGACGGAGAGGGCCTTGTTCTTGAGGGCGCGTTTGTTGATGTGCTTGGGCACCATCACCGTCGGCATCTGCCCCACCACCACGTCCTCCGCCTCCGACCCCGACCCCTCCATCTCCTCCCCGTACTCGTACTCCTCTTCCACCGCCGCCTCCTCCTCCCACGCCATGGCTACGAAGTTCGCTGGCTCGCTCTCTCTCTCTCTCTCTCTCTCTCTCTTGTGGGGAGACGAGGAAGGAAGCCGCCGCCGCCTTCGTGACGGCCAGCAGCGGAAGGGGCAGCTAGGTTACAAGAGATCACGTGCAAGCCGCGTGATTGATCTTGCTCGTCTCTACTCAATTTGCACTTATACCCTTAAAACTAGGGATAATTGAATCCACGTTATTATAAATTTTAGCGTATTGCATATCGTTAGTATTCACCTATTTGCAACTATACCATTATAATTTTACAAGTATATTGAAAAAACACCACTTCATACCCATTCGCTCCATTTATCAATCTTTTTAGACGCCATGTCTTCTACCTTTATCCCTTCTTCCTTTCCCCTCTCTCCCAGCCAATAACTCCGACGAGCGTGTGTAGTCGACCAACCACCCACGCTGTTAGAAGATCTGGAGCAAGATGCCACACGTCGCTGAGAAGGAGCTGGAGAGGGGCAGGCCACCCAGTCGGGACATGCTGCTTGCCACGGGATTTGATCGCTGCCAAATGGAGTGATGTCTATCACACGGTTGTGTTGTCACATTGAGACTTGGAGTGAGCAGATGCTCATCTCAAGCAGTAATGGCGGCAACAACTAGCTAGAACATGCAAGCCTCCCAGGCAACACGTGTCTCTTTTCTTGGATTCCATGAATTCTCGTTCGAGACTTGGAGTGAGCAGATGCTCATCTCAAGCAGTAATGGCGGCAACAACTAGCTAGAACATGCAAGCCTCCCAGGCAACACGTGTCTCTTTTCTTGGATTCCATGAATTCTCGTTCGTGCCAGCTGACTACAACATACCGTGGGGCTGCGAGTCCTCAGAAGTATCCCACACAGTCGCATCATGGACTTCCCCGAGGTGTCAGAGGCATTCCAACCGGCCTTCGATGACTTTGTCGCTGGTGCCGCCTCGCCATTGGTTGAGCAAATGAGGGGGTGAAGGAATAAAGGGTAGTTTGGTCTTAAAATTAGTGAAAACGATGAAAGGGGTCTTCAGTGACATTGCTCCAATACTTGTGAAATTATAATGATATGGTTACAACTATGTGAATAGTAATGGTATATTTGAAAAATGTAAAATTTATAATGGGATGGTTCCAATTAACCCTTAAAACTATGGGAACTATTCCGAATTGTGCGGTTATACCCTGCGGGATTGGAAGAGATTTGTAGTTATCCCCTCATGAGTTTTCATAGGCCAGTCTGGTCGCACCCATTAGTAGCGAACCAAACTTCGGTGGGCCTAATTTGGTTTGCTACCATTCATAGCGACCCAAATTCTAGTCGTCCCAATAAATCTGCACTGTTCGTAGTGATCCAAACCCGATAATATCTATCGTTATTAGCGATCCAAAATTTTTCAATTGAACCAATAAGATCGCCACCATTGATTATGATCCAAATTATCTAGGAAGAGAGAATGAGAAAGAAGAGGTGTAACATTGCAGGAGCTGTGATTTCATCACCACTGTCATTCTATCACCATCGATCTGATAGATCAAGCTGAGAAAGAAACTGAGCATGGAGGATTTTCAAGCCCCGGAAGACACAAGATGTTCCTTGAAAATGCTACTCATCTGTCCCATAATGTTCAAGTGTTCCGTAAATGTTACTTGAAAGTAGCAACCTAATACTTTAATGGAATATATATTAGAACTACATATTCTATAATATTATAGTAATCTAATATTAGATAAAACACATCTAAAACTACGGATACTATGTTGCTATATGATATACATAGACGGAGCCACGGAGCCTATAGAGATAGTATTAGTCCTTTAGTGCTCATCCGATGAAATCTTATTTCTATGCTTCTAAGGACGTGGTGTGTTATTAGTAGTGGATTGAAAAACAAAGTCTCTCATTTCCACGCGTACGTACTTTTGCCGAATTGCTAAAAGAAAAGTTGATTTAAAACATAATATTAATTATTTTTCAAGTTTATATAATTAATATTTAATTAATCATCTGCTAATAGCTTACGTATCTTTTCAATCGTTTTATTTCTCTCCTCTCAAACACACCCCACTCTGAATCATCCGATGTCAGTATTCAACTACTATGAGGATGGCTGTCGCCGGTCGGGTATATTATGCTCAATTATTGGGGTCATCACACATCAAGCGGCAACAGGTTCTAATCAGCAGAAGTTTGTGACATTCAAGAATTCGCCTGAATTAGGCCATGGACCGACGGGGGACAAACTACAGCAGATGTTGACCTGTTGTGTATCACTGTATCATGACAGCATGTCGCAAACTCGCAGTTGGGCTTGGGCATATTCTTGTCGATGTATGTTCATCATGTGAACTTGAGATTACTGACTTCTGGTAATCCGTGGAAAATGTCAGTTCTGTAGGTAGTTATAGTGTATACCACTTCCTCCGTACTAAAAATAAACTAATGTATATAATATAAATTTGGACATAGGTTATAGCTTGATTTTGAGCTAGAGAAATTACAAATGTTGTGGTTCTTTACAAATTATTATTGAATAGATAAAATTGTATAAACCACCCTAATTACTCTGGTTTTGAGTTTTTACCCCATAACCTATTTTGTTGTAAAAGCCTACCCACATGATATGGTTTCACATCAAAATTGACCCCTCCGTGCACATAAGTAATTGAATATGTCCATATCTTCTAATGTGGATTTATTGCCAATCACCGATTCTTATCGCCTCCGCGCTCGGCTCTCTCATCATTTATAGTCATCTTACTACTTTGAGCAGTCTAAGCACAAACTCGAGTCGAACTCACCTCATAACCACGTTGGACGAGTCCAACCTACTTGGTACGGTCCCTATAAATCCACATCGGAGGAAATTGTCCGAATCAACTACTCACATATATTGGGTAAGTGGATTTTTCATCAAAATAGGTTATAGAATAAAATATTCAGAATCTTATATATTGGCATGAATTGTGTGCTTCTATCATACATATTCAGTTGAACCATTCCTCTGATTGTTTTAGATAGAATTATCATCAGAATGGTAGATTTTCTGTTAGGTCAATGTATATAGCTTTAATTAATAATGGATATATTGAATGAAATAAGATTATTTAGAAGCTTAAGATACCACTTAAGATTAAGATCTTTATGTGGTACTTGCTTAAAGGGGTTGTGCTAACTAAGAATAAGTTGGCAAGACGAAATTGGAATGGTAGTTTAAGATTTTGTTTCTGTATGAAAAATGAGATCATTCAACATCTTTTTCTTGACTGTCATTATACAAAGATTTGTTTGGAGAGCAGTACAGTTCTCTTTTGGTTTATACCTTCCAAGTACCATATCTAATATGTTTGATGGGTGGCTTATGGGGGTTGACAAGAAGTGTAAACTCATACTTGTAGGAGCATCTACCATATGTTAGGCCCTGTGGTTGAGTAGAAACGATTTAGTTTTTAACAAATCACCATATATCTCATATATGTAGGTAATATTTAAGGTAACATATTGGCTTTGGTTTTAGGCGCAGCTGTAAAAGTGTGAAGATGATAGAGAGCTTATGAAGGTTGCATGTCGCAAACTTGAGACGACGGTGATGCAACTCTTTACAAACTATAGATGGAGATTCACAAATAGACTTAATAAATGTGTCCTCCTCATCTTGGTTTGCCTTTTATTTTGTTGAGTGTGTTTGATTACATTTGAACTACACTCTTTATATGAGTGGTATTCTGTAATAATTGGCTGTAACTCTGTTGAGTAAAGGCCAGGATATTTATTCCATTATCTGAAAAATAGAATAAAATATCAAAATAGAAGTAAAATTAGGGTGGTTTATGCAATTTTTACCTATCTGATAACCAAGATTCAGAGCGTACAATATTTCGGAAGAGACTCCTTTGACATAAAGTCAGAGGGACATGGTCATTAGCATGTAGGGAGGCTCCCACGTCCAGCTCCCTCCATGAGTTCTTGGCTCCATGCGCTCTTCAATGAAAAAAAAAAACATCAAAAAGCAATAGTACTTTCAAACATAACTGGCTGAAAGCCGGAAACAGTTGTTGCCTGGTGTTTCCTGACAAGCAGTGATGCTCACGAATCCTTTGGTTCTTTGCTCTACTAGTGCTGTGTTTGTTACGGTTGGATGGGAACATGCATAGTGCTTATGAAAAACGGAGTAGTCTATTAGCGCGTGATAAATTAAGTATTAGCTAATTTTTTTTCAAAAATGAATCAATATGATTTTTTTAAACAACTTTCGTATAGAAACTTTTTGCAAAAAAACACACTGTTGAGCAGTTTGAAAAGCGTGCGCATGAAAAATGAGAGGGGAGTGTTAGGAACTTGCTCTTACAAACACCTCTTACAAACACAGCATAGGTTACTAGTGTTGAATTCTGATCTGCCTACTGCTGTAGTGGGCTTAGTATAAGTGTGCAAGGCAAGTATTTAGAATTTCTGATGCCAATGCCCTTGTCTGCTTGATGTAGCCATCTGCACATTACAGTTACAGTGTAAATCTCCAGCTGCCATGTTCCATGAATTATTGGAGTTGAGAGTACATCATGATGTACAAATATAGTACAAATTGCAATGATTGAGCTATAGAAATAGTTTCTGTTTGCTATAAATTGCCACATGCCAAGTTTTTGGAACAGCCAAAACTCCAGAACCTCAGTTCAGCACCCCAAGAATTGTAAGTGGGGAAAAAAAGTTCCAAACGGAGATCTTCGTTTCTACCCCACTCTTTTTTAGAACTGAAGACAGATTCAGATTTCAAAGCGAGCAAGATCATCATAAGACGTGGTGATGAATTGCTTGCAGATTTCAGTCCCAAAGAAGAACCGAGGCAGTGATCAAGCAGCAGTTCATCACAGGAGATCAGTGGCACTAGACAACAAACAACACACAGCTGAGAAAAGTCTGAATATTCAACATTAGGCTGCTTGCTATTGCACATCATCAGAACATTAACAGGAGTGCACACTACTACATTCTTCTTCCACTTCTTCTTTTTGGAATTTTCCTAGACGAACTCTAGATGAACATTAAACTTACAAGGCAACACTGAACAAAGGTTGCATTTTGTTCATACTTTTTTTAGGGTCATTTTGGTTTATACTATACAAAAGGACACAACTAAATTCCTAGATAAACTCTAGGGACAAACCCAGACTTTGAGTAGACCACACCAGCAGCAGCAGCCGGGAGGAAGGAAGCAAAGCAAAACACCGCGGCGCAAAGACGCAATGCTTTTGCTACATCCTTTAGTTTTTGCCATCCTAGCCATCGCAGCCTAGCGAGGCTGGTGGATGACGCGGGGAGCGCCGCCGCTCCTCGGGCTGCCGGCGTACTTGGTGGGCTTCTCGGAGTGCCGGGGCTTCTCCCGGAGCCCCCGCGGCGCGTCGCCGCCCTTGGGAGACACCAGGCTCAGCGCCTTGAGCACCGCATCTGCACACACACATGGGAGACATGGCGATGAATTTCACTGCAATTCTCGTTTTAGACTCGATCTTTTGATGATCAACAAAGCGAGCAAGCGAGTGAGTCAGTCGGTACCAGTCTTGAGAGCGGCGGGCGGCTGCGGGGGATCGACGAGGAGGTTATGGGTCTGGTCGAAGAAGAGGTCGTCGTCGTCGTCGTCGTCGAAGGCGTCGTCGGGGAGGAGGCCGGCGAGGTCGTCGTCGTCGGCGGCGGCGTCGTGGAGGGCGAGGGAGTCGGCCATCTCGTCGAGCTGCTGGTGCTCGTGGAACCAGTGGTCGCGGAACCAGGCGGTGGTCTTGACGAGGTCCCACCACTGCGGCGAGAAGTCCTCCACCTGCCGGAACGCCGCCGGGATGAAGAGCGGCGCGTCCGGGTTCAGCGACGACACCGCCGTGGCGCTCATCCTTCCTTCCTTCCTCCTCTGTCCAGATCAAGCGGATTCAGATCGGAGACACATCCAAAGAAGAAACAAAAAAAAAAAAGAAAAGCAAACGATGAATTTCCACGATCCGGAAGATCCGTTCACTCTCGCGGAACCGCAGATCGCGAACTGGGCTCAAAAAATTGAACCTCTTTCCACAGATCTACCAGCGTACACACGCAGATCTGAGCCGAGCGAGCAGAGAAGCGATTGCTCACCTTTTTTTTTTCTCCTTTGCGATGGCGACGGGAGCAGGGGGAGAGAAAATATCCGTGGAATCTTGGGGGAGTGATGGGTAGTGGAAGGAGAGTAGTGGGCGCTTGGGATTTATAGAAGTGGAATGGATTATGGATAGCCTCAAATCATATGAGAGGAAGCTACGAGCGAGCCGGGCCGGCCGGGACGCGGTGTGGAGCGAGGCCGAGGCAGCTTCCAGCCGGTCGGGTCCGGATCGGGCTCGTGCACGGTCAGTCTCTCACGCGCAACGCACGGAATTTGCCGTGTAGCGGAGCTCTACAGTTCTACCGCGGAGACTGTAGAGTGTACGAGTCACAGTTGGCAACTTGGCGTCACTCGAGACTTGTCGAGAGAAAATGATGTTGGTGTCAGTTGGTGTGGTTTGTCTCCTCACTCTAGTGATTTAGTACGCGTTATATTCCACACGAATAGATAGGACACTATTACGCTGTATATCACTAAAAGCACAAAACTGCTGTCGACGGGTACGCCGTCTATTATTAAAAGCACAAAGCTATTAAATCCTGAATAGATAGGACACTATTATGCCTCGCTATCAACGGGTACGTCGCCTACCACTGAAAGCACAAAGCCGTTAAATCATGGAAAATTCAAATTCGCTGTCGACGGGTACGTCGCCTACCACTGAAAGCACCGTTAAATCCTGAAAAATTTAAATTCACTCCCATGGGGAGTCGAAGCCAGAACCTAAGGTATCACTGAGACTCTTATAACTACTGGGGTACATGCCCTTTCACATTATTATTATTATTATTATTATTATTATTATTATTATTATTATTATTATTATTAATGTAATACCTTCGTCTTGAAATATATTGTTATGAGTGGAACACATGCTACGAACCTAGACAAGTTTCCTGTAGTAGATGTATCTCATTCAATACTAGTTTTTTATATTTTGGACCGAGAGAAACTAAGATCAGATTACACGTATTCTATTACTTCGGTACTTCCTATGTTCTCATAAGATGTCGTTTTACAGCCTTCAAAATGTCCCTAAAAGGTGATCATTTCAGCTTTGTGGTATCATCTAGTTTTTCCTTGGATCATTCTGGTCCACTAATTTGAATTGAGTCCATGCTCATTAATTCATTGTTGTTTAACAAGCATTTAACATCAGCTGATTAAATATGGAGGCCGATTTAATTTTACCCTATGAGCTATTTTGTCTCTTAATCTCTGCAACGTCAATCTTTACGAAGGAAGTACTCCCTCCGTCCAGATTTATTGCGTTGTCCAGATTGATGTACACATCCTTCTAATATCGCTTATCTTATAGGATGAAGAGAGCACTATGAATCTAAATATAAATCATGACTACATTCATACTATCATGTATATAATTCAGTTTTAGATTTGTTATATTTTAGAATACGGATGGGTTAGCCAGCCTGAGTTTGAAGTTTTACCCCCTTCTATTTATATATTAGGAAAGTCTCTGGTATTCACGTTTTCACAACAATGCTCTCTTGCCCTTTTCGTAGGTGTAAAATTTCTCCGAGGTGTATACGATCATAATGCTCCATAACTCAGACTCATCGATCGGCATGATTGTGAAAAACGGACATCATCATTATCTGATAGGATTAGGATTAGGATTAGACAGCAGCAAGGCATCTTCTAAAGTAAACAAGCTCCTTAATCAGCCTTGCGTAAATTCCAAACCGAAAGGTGCTTATCTGAAAGGCGCGCGAGCTCCGCCGCAGCAGCGCACATGGAGGCCAGCGTCGAGGCGACACGCTAGGCGTCGGCGCGGCCGCGCGCGGCGGAGCGGAAAAGAAAACCATCCATCCGGCATCCGCCGTCTCGTACAGCACCACACCGGCACACCCGCGATTCGCGTTTGCGTGCGTGAACGGTAACTAGGGAACACATCTCATATTAATAATAACATCATCACGACTGTGTGTGTGTTTTTTTTGGCTTTCCCATCCTAACCCTCTTTTTTTCATACACGCTTTCCAAACTACTCATACATTTTTAAAGAAATTTTCTATATAAAAGCTGTTTTAAAAAATCATATTAATTTATTTTTTAAAAAAATTACTAATACTTAATTATTATGTGCTAATTAGTCGTTTTTTTCTTTTTTTTTAATGCGGGAAGGATTAGTTCGAATTAACTTCAAACAACTCTTGCTTTTGGTGGGACACCTGGCCCCACGGAGAAGCGTGAAATGACAAGGTAGGGACACCGAGGCATTATTATCCTCTCAGTTTGTGTCTGGCCCATGAGCAATGATTTGGTTGATCGCCCTTTGCAATCGGCATCATAAACCCATGTTGAATAATGGAAACTGCGTTGTGTACTCCAGTCTCTAGTCTCAGCTCCATCACCCATCATCAAACGAACGATGATGTGTTTCTGAATTCTGATGTGTGTAGTACTCCGCGTGCAATTTGGCAAGAACAGATGGTTCTATACTAATACTCCCTCGAATAGCGAACTACATGCACAATGTCGAGATCAAAGTTTTCTTCCAAGGGCATGGGAGTGGATTGGATCATTGATGTACATGTAAATAGTCATAATCATCTGACCCCAATGAAGAAATTTCATATACTAGCCAACTACCCGTGCGTTACCATGGAATCCAAGGGCATGCTGGGGATTGAGAGCAGGTACAATAGCAGACTAGAAGTTAGCTATAAACACATGTCGAGTAGATAAATGAGGAGAGAGAAGAGCAGCGGGCTACAAATTTATAGCCAGCTGCAGCACAGACTACAAATATTACTAGTGTAGTATATATTTATATGTAACTATCGTATGAATTGGTTATTAAATTGACTATAGATGATTTGGAGTTAGTAGTTGGCTATACTCTGAGAATATGAAGCATTTGAATTAGGGGGCACAAAATTTCTCAGAAGTTGGGAGGAACAAACGTCAGTGATATGAGATGGTGGTGGCACCACTGCTAATATTTAAAATAGTATAGATATCGTTTCATCCCTACGTGAATTGGAAAAGATATGAATATTTCCTTTCAAACGGAGGATTTCTTCCCAGAATTTCATAATAATCAAATTTATTCATGTAAAATTCCTGCTCTGTAATTTTTGAAAGTTGGAAAGTGCTGTGATGAAGTCGTTAGTTGTGGTTGTATGACTCCATACACTGCAGTATAAATTCTATTGACCATGAATATTTTGTACTAATCTGTCCTTTAAAAAAAAGCCAATCCTGGCTATGAACCTGGACCATGGTAGGATTAGTTTTTTTATGGGACAGAGGAGTACATGCATACACGTCTTCAATACTATTCATTAATTAAGGCTTGGAATTTCCATTCATTTTGGTCTATGTAAACATGTCAGGGATTATATTTGTAGGTATAAACATATGGGTACCCTATATTAGGTGTGTATAGTAGTGTTATGTGCTTGCACAGATTTAAAAGGAGCTCCTCATGAAAGCTAAATTAAAATTCCTGACAGTGATTCAAAGAGGCCATCATATAAACTAATAAGTTCATTTGGGTCCCTCAAGTTGAGCGCAAGTTTGAAAATGTCCTTCACGATAATACCAGATATAACCCATCCCTAATCTTTGCAGACCAGGTTAAATGAGATCCCAATGCAGTATTGAGGACAGTTTTGGCTGACGTGGCACTAGAAGAAAAATTAAAACCCAAGTGAGACCCGTATGTTTGTGAAACAATATATTCTTCCTTATCTATCTCCCTCCCCAACTTTTGGACTCAGCGGTAGCAAATGCGGTGGAGGCACCATGTAATCGGCGAGGAGATGATGGTCAACACGCGGTGTGCCCGACGGCGGCAGTGGAGGAGGCCCAATAGTTAATGGAGGTGTGCCTTGCTGCCTACAAGCCAAAGTGTCGACGTTGCCCGCTCATCACACGACAGATTGGGAGGGGCAGCGACTGACGGGGAGAGGGGCAGTGATTGCGGCGAATTGGAAGGTCTCCCAATCTCCTATGTCATGTGTAGTGGCGGCCGGATTGAGGATATGGCGAAGCTGGAGACGGGGACACCAGAGAAGAAGTAGTGGGTCGGGCGGAGCAGGGGATAGAATCGTCGAGCAGTGGCGGCATCAAGATCTGCACGAGTCGAAGGCAGAGGTGATAGGCTGAGCTGGCCAGTGTGGTAGAGGAGATGAGAGTGACAGAGGAATCGGCGGGGAGTAGATTAGGAGCTCAGGTGGATCGAGTGAAAGGTGCGCCAGCATGGTCAAGCCGCTGCGCCGTCGTCGTTCCTGTTGCGTCAGAAGCTGCCCGCATGTCTCTATGGCCCACATGGCCACCTCCGCGCCTACCCGTGCTCGCCTCCTTAGGCCTCGTGGTCGCCTCCACACCTATCACAGCCGATGCCAACTCGTGGCCCCACGAGGCCAAAGTTGTCTTCGTGTGGCCCACACTGCCAGCACCGCCTCCGCGTGTTCACCCCAGCCGAGGTAGGCCCAAAAGCGTCTTCGCTTCGCACCGCCGCCGTCTCCGCCTAAAGCACCAGACACAAGTAGCACGTGCAGCGGCTAGCAACCAATCGCCCCCTCCTGCGACCAAACTCTGGAGCCGCGTTGTGCCCTTCCTCACCGTGACAAGTGACCAAGCGTCCCCTGCCCCACACCGGCGCCATCATGTCCTTCATGTGCCACGCGCTAGAGTCTGACGGGGCTGGCACCGAGCACATCCACTCATCACGGACGCGTGGCGTCGATGGTGGATGGAGTGAGAGAGAGACAGGAGAAGAGAGGGGTAGTGATTTTTTTTTGTATGACATGTGGGTCTCATGCTGACTTAGTTTGGTTGACCGAAGTATTGCCTTGAGACTAAAATATAACCCAGTTTGATAAGATTAGGATGCGTTATATCTAGTACTAGATAATACCCCGCGTATTGCTGCGGAATGTTGTCGATAAATATATGTGAGATAGGGAGCTAAGGCAACTGTGAGCTGAAAACACTTGGAAGGAAATATAAAGATGTTTAGCAAGTGCTTATCAGGTTTTATTTGCTGAAACATGCGGAATCACCGATATATTTCTAAAATAGTTAACTTAGGTCTCGGTACATCAGCCAAAGATAACTTGGTCAATGTAGCAATAACGTAGGCTGTAGCAAGCTGGTGTATAGATGATGTGACATTGCTAAATGCCCTAGAAACAAAAACAAATAGCTGCAAACTGTAAAAATGAGGCAACATAAACTTTATTTTTATATCAAACATAGAGCAATCGTATATGTTTAATTTTTTTTTGGGCAAAAGGAAGCGACATTCAACGAATGAAACAATCACGAAACATTGATTTTGCCTCGATCTGTACTGCTGCACACTTTTTTTCAGGTGAACAGATGAAATTATCTCCCCGCAAAGTTACTTTTTGATGAACTAAAGAAATTATGCACCTTTTGATTGATGCATGGAATCGGTAACCAAGGAAAATGCTGATCCAAAAAGCATAAAAAAGTTTATACACATATATTTGTACACTAAACTCAAGAACAGTATGGCTCGCTCATTAAGGTGGTCTTTTTGACTGCCTCTGCTTCGGTTTCCTTGATTTTGTGGCACGCTAATTAGGGTGGAGGCGAGAACGAAGCTGTTCAACTATCAGGGTGCTAGGAGGTTGCATTATTTTCATCGGTTACAGGGGGCGGTGGAGTGGAGCGATCAGAATGGAAGACCGCGAGAGAGAGGCCAGGGAGCTGCATGTCATCCGTTGTGTCTTCCACCAATGCAGGAATCAGAAACGATCTAATCTCCTGCCGTGCAATTTTAATCTAACAATCCAAAGCAATCAGTGATGTGGAGCAACCACATCACAGAAAAATCAAATTAATTGCACGTAGTGAGGATCAACTGTATAGATATATATAGATATATAGGATAGGATTCCTCAAAGGGACGATTTCAAAACTCGATGACAAGACGAGGAAGCTGAAGTAAACTCTTCTCCCTACAAATTACGCAGTTCCAGCTGGGTAAAGCTAATGGGCGATCGATCGCTCCAGGCAATCGACCCCCATCCCCCTATGCGGCTCCTCTCCCCTTCTTCTCTTCCTACTACACCATAAATTAAAAAAAACAGTTAGAAAAATTTATATATAGAAATACTATATATATATATATATATATATAATATTTGAATTCAAATCCAAATTTGAATCGGGCATATAAAATTTTGACTTATAAACTTTGGGCCTATAAACTTTAAATGTATAGAAAATACAATATATAAAAAATATTTGAATTAAAATTCAAATTTGAATTAGATATATAAACTTTTGACTTATAAACTTTGGGTCTCTAAACTTTAGGTGTATAGAAATACTATATATAAAAAAATTGAATTGAAATTCAAATTTGAATCGGGTATATAAACTTTTTACTTATAAACTTTGGGTCTATAAACTTTAGATATATAGAAAATACTATATATAAAAAATATTTGAATTCAAATTCAAATTTGAATCGGATATATAAACTTTTGACTTATAAAATTTGTGTCTCTAAACTTTAGGTGTATAAACTTTAGATGTATAAACTTAAGGTTGTACAAATTTTAGATGCATAAATTTACTAAAATAAAAAAGTAATGCGGTGCAAAAAAAAAAAAGAAACCACGTGAGGAGGAGGGCCGATTGCCCTGATCGCGATCAATCGCCCATTAGCTTTTCCGGTTCCAGCTACATGGGCCGTATCAGAAAATTCTCTGATAAAATGAAGGCCCACAAGGCCCAATTCTACCTAAAGGGCCTAAAACCCCTCGAGCTCTCCTCTCTTCTCCTCACTCCGCCGCCGCAGCGAACTCCTCCCTCCTCTCTCGCCGCCGCCGATCCCCACCCGGAAGCAGCGAGCCGCCTCCTCCTCCCCAATTCCTCTCCAGAATGGCCGGGGCGAGGAGCCTGCTCCTGAGGCACCTCCGCGTGGCGGTGGCCCCTTCCTCCTCCTCCCCGGTGGCGTCCCTCAGTCCCGCGGTGGTGCTGCGCGAGGCCCTGTGTGGCCGGCAGTGGATGTCGTCGGAGGAGGCCAAGGGGTCGTTCCTGGACAAGGCCGAGGTCACCGAGCGCATCGTCAAGGTCGTCAGGAAATCTGCGGCGCACAATGTTGATCGGACGGACTAGGATTAGCCACCGTACTTTGGCCGCACCCCTCGCCGGAGAGAGAACACCGGCGCTTCGATCGCCGTGAACTTGGCGGCTGAAGAACACCGGCGGCGGCAGCGCAAGAGGTGGTGCTCGCCGCCGACATGATCCTCCAACGCTGGAGAAAAGTGAAATGCAGATTTCCTCAACAGCATGAGCAATCTGATGAGATTGCTCTGCAACTCGTACAGTGAAGTGCCACAGGACTTTACACGGTTGACAGTTCCACATCACAAATTCACAATTCACAAGACGGTAAACAACAGTTGTTAGTAGTTATGTTAATTGTTAATTAAGCAAAAAAAATTTAAATATTTCTTCCTCAATTCAAGGCTCCAAAATAATTAATAGTAGTATAATATTTTTGACAGTTGAGTTCATACATTATATAATTATACAAGTGCCAGACCAATCTTGAATGGTGGTCTGGTAAGCTAAACCATCACAGCCTATACAAAATTTGTAAGAGCCCACAATACATGTTTGTTCAGATAGATACATGTAATTACATTTCATAAACTCTCAACACATCAGTAGGAGAAAATGAACGACATAGACAGACATTGACACATGCATAACAAATCAATACACACCATGATCAACAAATCTACACGTATAGTTTAGAGTTTAACTTTAGACCCATGTAGAAGCTTGACAGGTCAGTGGAGAACCAGAACGTCCTTTTTGCACCAGGTACAAATGTACAATTGCACCCGAGTATATGCATGTCACTTAGTAGTATAAAAATCTAGCCGCAGTCAAATAATTTCCCGGTTTGTCTAGCATCATGATCAACAAATATACATGTACACTACAGTTGTTTAGCATCTAAGAAAAATAATTCACTTTTATGTTGATCAAATTTTCCGGTAAAAGCAAAGCACAAACAACATGCTCATCTCATCAAGATACTGTATCTTCTTTTACTGCTATCAAGATTTGTAATTGTTCAATTATGCAGACTCAAAGAGAGCATCATTCACAATTCGCTCACTTAGCATACATCATTTGACCAGCTAGACAAATTGAAGAAAAGAGCGCAGCCTAACCTCTCTGACAGTAGTACAGCAGCGCAGAACAACAACCTGGAGTAGCCTTCTTCAACCTGGAGTAGCCTTCTTCAAGTAACTCAACTTAGAATAATGGACACAAAACAAATAAGACCAATCTAGGAATGACTAGATTAATTTTGAATTAAGGAGAGGGTGAGGCTCGAACCCGGACCGGCTAGCTCGCAGCTTGCGTTGCTATCCAGGAAGACCCCCGGCCTTTCTCAAACGTAGAATAACGGACACATGTCGATCTCTGACAGCATGATTTGGAGTGGTCATTCTGAAATGTTCGAGAGCCCGCCATAGCTGGTTAGAGATGTAGTCCGTATAGCTGCCTTGTGGGTGTAGCATTTTGAACATTGTCCCGGCTCGAGCTTCGTCGAGGATGGCTTTGCCCAGAGCAAGTTCATACTTGCCCCCTCTGAAAGCTGTAAGATATATCCACCTCAGGTGATGGCTGAAACAACCAAGGTCACGGAAGAAATTGTTCCCTTGATAGATGTGTTCATCATCCGCTTTGAGGAGCCCTTCTTCTGGTGCAACCTCATCGTATCTCTGCAGCAAAGGCACACACGCGCACCTTAATCAGAATTCACACATGATAATTCTGCAAGTCACGCACAATTCAAACAGAACTCAGACATATTATATATTACTAGTACCATTGAACTACAGAGACAGTTGGTAGTAATTCTGCAGCAAAGGCACGCACGCACAACCCAATCAGAAATCAGAATTCAGACATAGTCTAATACTACTGATGCAGAGCAATTAACAGCAAATTTCAGGACAATAAAATGATTGATTGATTGATTGGATTGGCTGTTTATTACCATGATCTCCAGTTTCTCTAAGCATGGGAAACACTTCAGAATCTGCTCTATCTCACGGGGCACCCTGTGACCCATCTCTGTGTAGTTCACCCGTAAGCCGAGAATCCTGACAGAACGCATCTTTGGAGGATGCAGCACCATCCCAGCCTGCGCATGATCAGAGTATAGTATTGTTAATTAGCCAATTTGGATTTGGATTTGAGTTAATCGGATGAGCAGCATGCAGAGGTCTGAATTTGATCGATCGATTTGCAGTGCACACGGACACGATTCGATTTGATTTGATCATACCTGAATCACAATGCCTTTGATCACGAAGACGGTGTTGAAGAGATCGAGATAGCCGATGCTTCGCAGGCTGGGCGCTTCACCGATGAAGATCTTGGATGGTCTCGTCGGTGGTAACAGGTGCAGCTTCCGGAGTTGGATGGCGTCGTGCACGACGACCGTGCCCTGCACCACGTTGTTGTGCATCTCCAGAGAGCGGAGGCGCGTGGTCTGGACGAGGACGTCTACCAGACGGCTGAAGTCGATCGTCAGCACCCGGATTTCCGATTCGGGGCGGAGTGCTCGCAGGATCATGCCAGGGCAGCCATACAGCCCGAGGACGCGGAGGTTGACGAGGGAGTCGATGTGGTCGGCTTCCATGGTGAAGAAGAAGACGTGGAGTCCCTTGAGGCTTGTGGCGCAGTCGCGGATGCCCTGGGGGAGCTCGGGGTGCCCTTCCATGGTGAGGTTGGCGAGGGTGACCTCACGAACACGGCCGCGCTGGAGCGCGGCGCACCAGCGGTGGAGTTGGTCGGCGCGCCACCGCGTGGTCTCCACTCGGAAGCTGTAGACGCGGCCGATCTCGTAACCACCATCTGGGATGTCGTCGTGGCCGTAGATGTCGTCGTCGCTGATGACGCCGTCGTCGGCGCCTACGCCTCCAGGGAATCGGAGGCGACGGCGGCCGGCGACACCTCCACCGTCAGAATTGTTGACGACTCCACCGCCTTGATCTGCTGCCTCGTGTTCGAGTTCGACGGCAACCCCGGGTCCAGAATCGTGGCCATCCACGCCAACTACCTCGTTGCCTCCACCTCCATCTCCGTCGTCGTCGTCGTCGCTCCCGTTCTCTCCTTGTACGCCTACGAACTGGACGCCGTCGCCTACGTGGAGCTCGAGAACGTTGGCGATGGCGTCGGCGACGTCGGCGGCGGCGATCCGGGGAGAGGCGAACTGGCGGTCATGGAGATACAGCGGCTCGGCGCGCCAGATGTCGAGCCAGCGCGGGGAGAAGAGGTAGCCGAGGCGGAACAGGTCGACGACGGGGAGGCGGACGAGCACCCTGGCGACGACGTCGTCGGGTAGCCCCCGCCACTCGGCGTGCGGGGCGTCGGCGACGGGCGGCGCGAGGACGGCGGCCGGAGCGTCATGCGTCAGCGTCGCCCGCGGTGGCTTCAACCTGGCCACGGCGGAGGCGACGATTGTCGCGCGGCCCGCTTCCATTCCTCTCCGGCGAGTCGGAAATCTGGACACGGCGGAGGCGTGTGGAGCAAGCTGCCTCCTCTCTCTCTCTCTCTCTCTCTCTCTGGGGTTTCAAATTTTGATATACCGGAGGTTGGATATTTATAGAGAGAGTTTTTCTCTGGTTTTTTTTTATCAATCTGGTGCGCACGTTACTGATCGGACGGTCTGGGTCCAATTCCGGATAGGAAGAAAAAAAATCTACGGCTTCTTCTGGAAATACAGAATAAAACTAATCGGTTAGTAGCAAATCTACGGCGCACAATGTTGATCGGACGACACACCGAGCGCCACCTCACAGTCACTTCGCCGTGGACTTGGCAAGTTGGCGTCAGCAGAAAAGCCATCGATACCGGTGTCTCGATTCTCAATTATCTCATCAGCAGATGAGATTTTTATCGATAAGATTTCTGCAATTCATACTGAAACGCCACAAACACATTTTTCCACAAGACTTGCACATCACAAGATAGTAGACAACTCATGGTTTTGTTAAGCAAAATGAATAAAAAAAATCCATTTATTATTCTTCCTCAATTTAAGGTTCCAAAAGTGACAATGCAATCTATTGTCAGTTCATATGTCATATAACTACAAGTGCCAATCCATATTATTCAGTGGTCAGGCACAAAAATTGTAAGAGAGTTCAGGACATGTTTGCTCAGATAGCATGTAATTACACTTCAGAGAGACACAAGCATACATACATACTTCCTCTGTTCCACAATATAAGTCATTCTAGATTTCCCCACATTCATATTCATGCTAATGAATCTAGATAAATATATATGTCTAGATTCATTAATATCAATATGAATGTGGAAAATGTTAGAATGACTTATATTGTGAAACGGAGGGAGTACACCAGAATAGAATACACACCATGAGCAACAGAGCAGAATACAACAGCATAAGCATAGTATAGACTTGATCCATTTCATTCAATAACCATCTCACTGCAGCCAAATATTTTGTCGGTTCATAAAATAGGTTTTATTTGATCCCCTGAGACTGTCCCTTTGCCTGAATAGTTGATCACATGCCTCATAACCTGTCAGGATCAGCCAACCAGAATTGCTCCATCACTCGGCTGCTGCTTCCACTCCAAAGCTCTGGTTCCATCCATGGAAGAGTAGTGTCTCGTACATCAGCAGAAACCAAAGAGTTCATCAGTGATCTGAGAAGCAAAATTGAAACATACAGATATGGAATCAAGATATCAGGATAATTTCTGTACTAAATACTCCTTATATTCAGATACATAATAACGCTGGAGTAAAGAAATATAGAATGCACTAATATGTAGTTTGTATTGTACCCCTTAGATGAAGTTCCAACGGTAGGTCATAGAAGAGAACAAGCACAAACTTACAGTGAAATTTGGGAGTCCTGAAAGTGTTAGGGTTGTCTATTGGATCACCTAGGTTTAGATCTAGTCGGGTGGTTCTATTTGCGATGGATGATTGAACAACAATAGAGAATAAGGGAAAGGGTTTAGGGATGTGACCGGTTGACGCGTTGGATGAAGAGGAAGTCCCAGCCATCGTCGTTGTCGTCGCTCTGCTTGACGTGGGCGGCGGCGGCGATGGCGGTCGTGACGGCGACGGTGCTGCGCGGCAGTGGTGGTCGTAGGGGATCCCGGCGAGGTCGTGGCGCGGCGGTGGAGTCTTCCCGTCACTGGCTGCCCCCCCTCGATCGGTTAGGGTTTATGGGGTGGAGTGGCGGCGGCGGCGACGAACCTCGTTCCTTGTGTCGTTATGTCGTCCCGTCCTCCACCCCTCTTTATATGGCACAGTGTGACGGGGGCCCACCAGCCATTGGGCTGGGCGCCCCTGATCAGGGCGCGGGTCAAGGCCCCCTTGAGCCGTTGGGCTCAAGGGGAGGGAGATCCATCTAACATTCTCCCCCTTGATCTCACTATTTCCTTTAGCTTTTTCTATTCCATCACAGATTTACATATAGAGCATGTTTCATCGTCACGGTTAATTACCGATGGATTCGACAGCCACTATACACATCTCTATTCAGAAACAGATACTTTAACTTTTGGGCCCTATAGTCCAGGATTCATAAGGCTTCCCTTAAAACCCATGCATGCTACATGTTCCTTGAACATGTTGGGAGGTAGGCCTTTCATGAGCGGATCCGCGAGCATCCTTTCTGTTCTTATGTGCTCGAGACTGATTGTTTGATCCCGGACTTTGTCTTTCACAACATAATACTTTATGTCAATGTGTTTGGCAGCACCACTTGACTAATTGTTGTGAGAGTACATTACTGTGGGTTCTTTATCGCAGTATAACTTTAGTGGTTTCTCAATACTATCAACCACCTTTAAAACCGGGTATGAACTTCATTAGCCAGTTCACCTGCCCCGTAGCCTCATGGCATGCTATAAACTCGGCATACATGGTAGACCCTGCAGTGGTCGTCTGTTTTGAGCTTTTCCATGAAATAGCTCCTACTGCCAGGGTAAACATGTATCCCGATGTTAACTTTGTATTATCTTTTGCAAAGTCAGAATCCGAATACCCCACTATCTGGAGCGATTCTGCTTTTCTGTAAGACATGATGAGGCCTTTTGTTCCTTGCAATCACGCAAGACTTTCTATACCAATTTCCAGTGCTCTAGGCCTGGATTACTTTGAAATCTGCCAAATAACCCGGTAACAAATGCCAAGTCAGGTCGTGTGCACACTTGCGCGTACTATAGGCTTCCTACAGCTGACGCATATGGCTTTGTTTTCATTTTATTGAGCTCATACTGATTTCTGGGACATTGCGATGCCCCATACTTTTCGCCTTTGACTATAGGAGCAGGTGTAGCACTGCATCTGTACATATTGAATTTCTTCAACACCTTTTCTATATATATGCTTTTTGAGAAAATCCCAATGCATACTTTGTTCTATTTCGGTGAATCTCTATGCCCAAAACATATGAAGCCTCACCGAGGTCTTTCATGTCAAAGTTTGAGGACAAGAATTTCTTTATTTCCTGCAGTAGATTGACATCACTACTAGCTAGTAGAACGTCATCTACATACAGAATTAGGAAAATGAGTCTCCCATTCTTAACTTTGAATCAATACAGTTGTCCTCTACATTCTCTTGAAAACCCAAATTTCTTTATTGTTCCATCAAACTTCAAGTAGCATTGTCTCGAAGCTTTGCTTTAACCCATAAATGGATCTCTTTATACGGCATCCCATATTTTCGTTTCCTTTCATGACAAAACCTTTCGGTTGCGCCATGTATACTTTTTCCTCCAAATCTCCATTTAGAAAATGCCGTTTTTACATCCATCTGATGTAATTCCAAATCATAATGTGCCACTAGTGCCATTATAATCCTGAAGGAATCTTTACAAGAGACTGGAGAAAATGTCTCATTGTAATCAATCCCTTCTCGTTGCGTGAAGCCTTTTGCCACGAGTCGCACTTTAAACTTTTCTATATTCCCTCTAGAGTCATATTTGGTTTTGTAGACCCATTTACAGCCTACTGTTTTGGCTCCTTTAGGAATTTCTTCTAAATCCCAAACATCGTTTAGTTTCATTGATTTCATTTCATCTTTCATGGCTTCCAACCATTCAGATGAGCGAGCGCTTCTCATGGCCTCTTCATATGAGGTGGGATCATCCTCCATATGCGACTCTTCTATATTATAAACTTTATAGTCATCACGGATAGCCGATCTTCTGACTCTTTCAGACCTTCTAGGGGCCTGCACATTTGGCACATCCTGTACCTGAGGCTCTTGATGAGTCTCCTGTACTGGCACATTATCTATTTGAGGCTGTTGTAGCTCCTCCTCTGGTGTGGCAACCATTTCTGTTGAATCCTGTATAACAGGTTCCTCACTCTCATTCATTGTTGCCACAGGAGGGGTAACAACAGGTGCTGGTACCGCAAGGGCATGCATTGCTGGCACAACATTAGCAGGTAGAGAGAAGAAAGGTTCCTGAGTCGACGGAGCGGGTACAGACACCCGCCTCTCCTCAAGATCAATTTCTCGAATTACCGAGCTCCCCCTAATCATTTCGTCTTCCAAGAAGACGGCGTGTCTCGTTTCTACAAACTTTGTATAACTGTTTGGACAGTAGAAACGATGACCCTTTGATCTTTCAGAATAGCCAATAAAATGGCAGCTTACTGTTTTGGGTTAAATACTTTATCCTTTGCAGGACTCCCCCACACACGGAGGATCCATAGTTCATACGGTGTTTTGGGCACCGATGCATTCTATGCATTGTATGCATTGTTCTAAAACTGAGAACTCCAATGGAGGAAGAATTACATTCTTAACCAGTCTCTCAATTCTCCCCCTCGAAATATGGCCTAAACAACAGTGCCATAATTTCGATGAGACATCAGGAGTTCGCTTTCTTTTCTTTTGTCAACGAGGACACAACATTCACATTCTCAGAAAGAGATAACAAATAAAGCTGATCTTGCAACATAAGACCAATACATTCATTATTATACCATAGTTCACATTTGCCATTTCCAAAATGGCAATCATATCTATCAAAATCCAATTTGGATACACTTATTATCAAGTTTCTTTGCAAAGAAGGGACATAAAAACGTCTGGAAGTAAAAGTGTGAAGCCATTCGCGAGTTCTAGGCGAAGATCTCCAACAGCCTCAACTTTTGCTTCAACTCCATTGGCAACTCTAATGGATCTTTCACTTCTTTGCATAGTCCTCATTGAACGGAATCCCTTTAAACAATTACACACATGAATAGTTGCTCCAGAATCAATCCACCATGTGGATCTAGAATAACCAATCATAATGAGATTCTTTACAAATGTAATAATGTTCTCACCTTTCTTTGCCATGATCACTGTCAGGAAGTCAATATGATCTTTCTTGGAATGTCTTGTCTTCTTGCAGTGTAGACACTGATCTTGTCTCAACTGTAAACTGTTGTTTCTGAGGCAGATGCTGAGGCTGTTTTTCTTTTGAGGAGGGTGACCTGTGGCTCTTTTCCTTGTTATCTTTGACAAGGTTAATGGAGTCACCATTGGTCTCTTTGTGTCTTTCCTCCTCTTGCACACAATTAGAGATGAGCTCTTCAATATTCCAATTCTCTGTACTTATTTTGTAGTTGACAACAAGGTTGTCAAAGTTCTTTGGCAATGAGGACAAAACCAGATGGACCAGAAAGTCATCTGAGATGCCCAAATCTTTTTGCTTCAATTTGGAAGCCATGTTGCTCATCCTAAGAATGTGGTCTTTTACACCACCTCCATGGTACCTCTCTGTAACAAGCTGCATTATCAGCTGTGTCGCATAAAACTTTGAAGAACCAGTAAACTGGCTCTTTATACTTTCGAGGTACTTAGAGACAGTGTCATACTCTGGGATTGAGCCCAATATGGTTGGCTCAATCGTGTTCTTTACCGCAGCCAAACAATTCTTGTTGGCTGAAGACCATTTCGCATGCTCAATGTCATACGACATGATGAGGGAAGCATTGTCCCTCTCTCTCTTTTGCCATTCAGCATCTGACTCTTTTTCACCTCTGAAAATTTCAGCAGGTTCTATAGGACATGGGGTAGTCAACACCCAGTCCACCTCTCCCAAGATAAAAGCAAGGTCGAGTTCTCTTTTCCATTCTTCGTAGTTATCTCCTTTCAGGGTCGGAATATCTTTAATGTAACCCATCAAGGAGTAGCCACCTAAGATAATCATGTATTGTGAGAACAAAATTAACATTAAAATTATTATGTATTAAGTCTACATCACCGTTGGGCAGAAAATAGACATAACACATAAAGCCATAACTATAACATTGCAATTATCAACGTTGGTCAGAAAAATTACAACATCATAGCACATAATTAATGTTCCTAAAATTAAAATCTCCCGTTGGTTCGAAATTTAATTTTAGAAACACTAATTTTCATCAATTTCATCTATTTGCAGCGGAAGATCTATATACAATTCATATAAATTGTAACAAAACTCTGTTGTTTACGCTCTGTAAAATTCTCCCGTTGGTTCAAATTTAAACAGAGATAAAACATGTAAAAACAATTCAAAATTCTATTGTAATTTGCATGAAAATATACAAAATACATGTTCAGAAGCATTTCTCACATTTATCTATTCTCTAAACAATTTTCACGTTGGTTCAAATTGCTTAGAAATAAACACAATCATTAAACATATTGAAAATGCTTCCTTCGGCCGAGGGACTTTTATTAAACTTCCTTTCTTTTGATTCGGCCCCGAGGGACCTAAAATGAACTTTTTCGGCCTTTGCCAGTCGGCCCACGGCCGCCTTGCGCGCGGGCGGGCGCCCCCTCCCCTTTCCCCAGGCCGCAACCTGGGCCTGGGCCGGGAAAGTGGCTCGCCGTGCGCTCCCACATGGGCCGATTTCGGTCCGGCCGCCGTCGGCCGTCCGATCGCTAGGGTTTCGATCGGACGGTCGCGCGGGCGGATCGGGCAAACAAAACCGCCCCCGGCCGCCGGCGCCGAAACCCTAGCTCCTCTTCTCTTCTTTCTCTTGCGGTTGCACGGAGCGGCGTCGCCGTCGCCGAAAACCCTAGCACAGCGCCGGCGGCGGCATGGCGACACGGCGGCGCCGTCGCACTCCCCTTCGCCGATGCGCGCACTCACTCAAGGGTGAGTGCGCCGCCGTCGAGCGGTTGTGCCGCGACGCCCTCTCCTTTCTCTTGCGGGCGTGCGCCGTGCCGAGCGGCGTCGCCGACGCCGGCAGCCTTCGCGCCGCCGCGCCATGGCCGACGCCCTCGCGCCGCCACGCCCTCTATTCTTTTCTCTTCTCCCCCCCACCGTCTCACCCCTCCACGCGAGTGAAGAGTGAGAGACCGGCGACGACGGAGATGGTGGCGCCGCCGCGGGCCCCCTCGCCGGCGCGCGCGTGCACCCGCGGGTGCGCACGCGGCTGTCGAGTGGCTCCTCGGCGGTGCCTCTTTGCCCCTCTCCCCCTCCGTGGCCGGCGTCAACGACGGCCGGCGACGAGGTAAGATTAGGGTTAGGGTTTCGATCTTTTCGATCCGTTGGATCGTTTGCTTTTCTTTGCCTTTCTTTTGGATTTCTTTCCCCAACCAATCTAAACGCTAGGATGGCTCTGATACCATTGTTAGGGTTGTCTATTGGATCACCTAGGTTTAGATCTAGTCGGGTGGTTCTATTTGCGATGGATGATTGAACAACAATAGAGAATAAGGGAAAGGGTTTAGGGATGTGACCGGTTGACGCGTTGGATGAAGAGGAAGTCCCAGCCATCGTCGTTGTCGTCGCTCTGCTTGACGTGGGCGGCGGCGGCGATGGCGGTCGTGACGGCGACGGTGCTGCGCGGCAGTGGTGGTCGTAGGGGATCCCGGCGAGGTCGTGGCGCGGCGGTGGAGTCTTCCCGTCACTGGCTGCCCCCCCTCGATCGGTTAGGGTTTATGGGGTGGAGTGGCGGCGGCGGCGACGAACCTCGTTCCTTGTGTCGTTATGTCGTCCCGTCCTCCACCCCTCTTTATATGACACAGTGTGACGGGGGCCCACCAGCCATTGGGCTGGGCGCCCCCGATCAGGGCGCGGGTCAAGGCCCCCTTGAGCCGTTGGGCTCAAGGGGAGGGAGATCCATCTAACAGAAAGGTCACTGAATTATGCGTGTCAAGATTGAGCTACTTCCTGCCAAACATTTGACATGCCTCAAATCATCTGAGAACTTTGAACCCAGCAAAACCCTGATGCAATTCTGCCTAAAGAACTGGCAGACCCACATTATGCTACAGCCACAACAAGTAAACAACCCGATATCTCTCATAACCAGCCCTTTTTTTTTTGAGAAAGAGGGGCAGAACGCCATTTTATTAATGAAATGAGCAAAAGCTAGAGGTTCATATAATCCCAAATCCATTTCTAGCAGATCAACAAAATGAAAGAGCAACACAAATTCCGATTCCCAGGTAACATGACTAAGACTTTTCATTATCAGCACGCCCACATCATCGCGGCAGAGATTCACCAGGCGATCATAAAAATAAAATATTCAAAATAACCAGCCAATTTACAACAGGAAAGAAAATATCCACACGATCATCCTCTACCAGAAGAGGGCTTCGATCGCAATCTCGTATTGAGATAAAAGCAAAGTTTAGAATCACTGGCAAATGACAATGCAAACAGGCATAATTCCTATGCAGCAGTGCACCATATTTCTACAACAGCAGCAAAAGACATAGCATGATTATAGAAGGCCTCACCTATCATCAGACATTTCCATCACATCAGAAAACCAAAGCTGTATCCAAACAGAAGTAAAGCAGAATAGCATGGTAGAACTGGTAAGCTTGTGAATTCTGAATTGATAAGAGCAATTCGAATCGGCCTTAGCACCAAACAACTCAAGTAGCTCTCACATCAGACCTTGATAAAGTGCACACAGGCACGCAGTTGGCTTAACAGAATTCTAGCCATGTACTGAAGACTTAACCTAACCCAAAACATAGGTAGTATATACTACTTAACTAGGTTAATGACCAGGGTGATGATCTGCTAATGATAACTAGGAAAAATGCCATTTGCGGAGCCGTTCACAGGTGTCCCAGCACATTCTGCAAAAACAGCTTCACTTCCTGTGGACTCATCTGATGATCTTGCAGCATCCTTTTGTGGCATTCATCCTTAAGATCTTCCATGTCGAGTGCAATCGCAGCCTGTACAGAGAAATCAGATTAGAAACATATAAACATCTGTCTGAACTCTGAACAGAGAAATCAGGCAGCCTACTATAGTATATCTAGGACAAGTTTCAAAAGTGGAAGTACTTTAGTCACTATATATCTTACATAATACTACTATATCTTACAAAAGAAATCAAGCTGCTAATTGTTTGTTTTATTCCCAAGATCTCAGCCAAAATTTGGGCCGTTGGTTCTAGATCCAACGGGTTCTGTGCATCTTCTACCTCTAGAACACTGAACTCTCTCTCTCCCCTCACCTATCGATTAGCTGCGCAACTGCGTGTCTGCGCCTTCCCCGTCTCCACCGGCGCAGCCCGCCGCCTACTCGGTTTCCCTCGCCGTCGCCGTCGCCGTCGTCGACCCCTTCCACCGCCAAGCCGCGAGATTCCGATCAACGGGAGAAAGAGAGGGAGAGGAAGGTAGAGGTTGAAGACGAAGTACACACAAAATCGCAACGCAAAACCACACAGTCGGAAAACATCCCTAACAATTGCAAGATGCCTCCATTGCCGGAGAGGAGAGGAGAGGAGCGAGGGGCGCTTACCCTTGTGAGGTGGCCGAGGGTGTCCAGGTCGTGGACCCTCTCCGCGAAGATGCTCTGCACGCGCAGGACCCCCTGGGGAAGCAGCTCGCCGGTGGCGCGGCTCGTGAAGAGCTCGGCGTTCATGCGGTACAACTGCACGGTGTCGTAGATGTCGCCGGACTCGATGGCGGGCAGGTCCCATATGTATCCCGGCGCGAGCTCCGCTAGCCGCCGGGCCTGCACCGAGAACTCCACGCCGTCGCCTACCCGCACCTTCACCATGGGCACTCCCGCCGCCGCCGCCGCGCCCTCCATCGCCGTCGCCGAGGAGGAAGAGGGAGAGGGAGAGGAAGGGGGAGGGGGTGAAGTGGGTGGGTGAAAGTGAAAAGGTGGCGAAAGGGAGGAGGTGAAGGTACGAGAAGGTTATATTGATACAGACTCCTCTCACTTACAGTGGGCCCAGGATTATACCTGGCCCCACCTGCAGCCACAGACGGGCTCCCTACAGTCCTACACCATCCTCCCTCTACGCCACGTGATCCCCTGCCTGTCAGGGCGTGGGCCCAACGGCATCTTAGTTACTTTACTCAATTTTTGATAAAAAGGAGAAAATGGTAGTACTGGATATTTGCCTATTCAATTTTTGTTCTTCGTACTTTCATATCTCAAGATTATCGTCTTGTGATAATAATGTTTAGTTGAAAAACTTTTTCCAAAAAACATCACATCGAATCTTTGGATACATACATAGAATATTAAATATAAATAAATTTAGAAAATAGTTACACAGTTAGGGGAGAAATCGCGAGACAAATCTTTTGAGTCTAATTAATCCATGATTAGCTATAAGTGCTACAATAACCCACATGTGCTAATAATGGATAATTAGGCTCAAAAGATTCGTCTCGCGGTTTCCATGCGAGTTACTTCCTCCGTTTCACAATATAAGTCATTCTAGCATTTCCCACATTCATATGGATGTTAATGAATCTAGATAAATATATATGTCTAGATTCATTAACATCAACATGAATGTGGGAAATATTCATTAACATCCATATGAATGTGGGAAATGCTAGAATGACTTACATCGTGAAACGGAGAGAGTGTGAAATTAGTTTTTTTATTCGTGTCCGAAAACCCCTTCCAACATCCGGTCAAACGTCCGATGTGATATACAAAACTTTTCTTTTCATGAACTAAACAGGCCCAATATTTCACACAAACATTGTAAAATTTTTTGCACGAAGAAACTTAAGTAGTTTTATAGAATTTAAATTTTCGAAGGGCATAACATTGGTATTGAGTAACTCTCGACAAGACTTAATAGTCTTTTTTTAAAAAAAAAAATCATGCAACTATATTACCCGGCTTTGAAACAAAGCCTAGACAACATACAACATACAGAGTTCACAGTGTCTTAACAAAAAGAAAGCAGAAAACAGAGCAAATAAGAGAGCCGCTGGGAACAACCAGCCATCCATGACAGAGCTCAGAACAGCACAAAAGAACTAAATACCCCTTTTTTTCTACTAAACCCCACTATTTTGAGAATTAAAAGCAAGACGAGAACTACTCATCTAAACCACAAACTATCCTAAGGCAGCGTTCGTTTGGAGGACATTGAGGGAGAAAGCACCTCGTTTTCCGCACGCACGCTTCCCAAACTACTAAACGCTGTATTTTTTGTAAAAATTTTATATAGGAAAGTTGCTTTAAAAAATCATATTAATCCATTTTTAAAATTTAAAATAATTAATACTCAATTAATCCTGAGCTAATGGCTCACCTCGTTTTGCGTATCTTCTCAATCTCCTCAATCTCCTTCTTCTCAAACACACCCTAAGTCAACAGGCAGATTAATTACTAGTCATTATTATCACCTTGATTACTACTTTGGACTTCAACTCATGGATATACTTCATGTAATAAGACATATATAACCTTGCTAGTATTCAAAATGCACAACAATTTTATGATACACTATATAAGAGTTTTTCTTTCAATTAGTACTGTTCACAACAGCACCAGACAAAACTTCTCTCTGAATTGCTCCAAACTTCTCGATGAAAAGGAATTACTCGAAACTTCTATCAGAATTACTACTATCAGTGTGCATCTAGCTACAACTGTCTATCTAGTAAACACTAATATGGTGAAACAAAGAAGAAGAGGGAGATAGGGATTGCGATTTGTGAGGAGGAAGATGAAGATAAGAAGCAAAATAGAAAGGTGCAAAGTTAAAAGATGCTCAAGTATTGAGGTGTTCACGGTAACAGACTCTAGCATTGAGAGGGCATAGGCGAGGGGCGCGAGGAGCGACACGCGGAGGGCAGGAACGCCGAGAGCGAGGTGAGCGACGCCAAGATAGAGGGCCACTGGCAGCGGAGGGTCAAGGGAGGCAGGATGTTGCCGCGGCGGGCAGTAGCACAGGCGGAGGCACTCCACTACCATACCATGACGCGCCTAGTTCTTCTCTCGGACGACGCATTCGTCAAACAACTGCAGGAGACCTGGTTTACCACCGCCCAGCTCCTCTTCCGCCAGTCGCCCCGCGCTGCTCTTCTCCCGGGGTCGCCGTGAAGAAGATGGGGAAGAGAGATGGAGAGAGGAAGAAAGAATTGGTCGTTCACATGTGGGGCCCACATGGTCCCATGCTGACTCAGATGCAAGTCAATACGGGGTATAAATACTGTCTTAGACCTCTGGTAATCCGGTTTTGTTTCTGGTAATGTGGTTCAGGGATAAAATTAAACTCGGCGACAAATTGAGGAACTTATTATTACGCAGTTCAAGCTACATGGGCCGTAGAAGAAAATTCTCTGAGAAAATGAAGGCCCACAAGGCCCAATACTACCTAAAGGGCCTAAAACCCCTCGAGCTCTCTCATCTCTTCTCCTCACTCCGCGGCCGCAGCGAACCCTTCCCTCCTCTCTCGCCGCCGCCGCCGATCCCCACCTGGAAGCAGCGAGCCGCCGCCTCCTCCCCAATTCCTCTCCAGAATGGCCGGGGCGAGGAGCCTGCTCCTGAGGCACCTCCGCGTGGCGGTGGCCCCTTCCTCCTCCTCACCGGCGGCGTCCCTCAGGCCCGTGGTGGCGCTGCGCGAGGCCCTGTGTGCCCGGCGGTGGATGTCGTCGGAGGAGGCCAAGGGGTCGTTCCTGGACAAGGCCGAGGTCACCGAGCGCATCGTCAAGGTCGTCAGGAACTTCCAGAAGATCGACGACCCCGCCAAGGTATCACTGGCCGCAGCATACCGTTCTTCCCCCCTCCCTTTTTTCTTTCTTACTTGTCGAATCGAATCGAATCGAGAAGTGAATTGGTTCTCGATTTAGCTTGAATTGATCCCGTGGGATAGCATTTCGATGTTGCCTGGCGAGTAGTCCTGCAGATCTGGATGCATTCCGCAGTTTAGGTTGACGCTCTAGCCTGTGGCAATGCTGTCGGCACGTGTACATGCTCTTTAGTGGCCTTGTTGAAACCACTCTTGAGTTTGGTCGAGGAGTTGCGGGGGATTGTGATTTGTGAGTATCATCTGTGCTCAGTTGGATGTTAATTTTAGCAAGTTATGCGTATATCTGTGATCACATTGAGGCATACAGTAGGTGATAAAAACCCCGTTTCCTTATTTTTACTGGAAGTTTGGTTAAAAACATAGTCTGTAGCAGATTGGTAGAACCACCTGAGTAGGTAAAGAGTCACAGGGGGACTGTGAGCAACATCTTCTGTGTTCAGTTGGATGTTGTAATCTTAGTAAGTTATGCCATTTCCATGCGTATCTGTATGACAGCATCGAGGCTTGCATTAGGTGATAAATCCTTGGTTCTTTAGCGCATAAGCCTATCATCATCAGTAGAACAAAGGTTGTGGTGGTTGAGGTTGTGATTTCCACTTTTCGAGCTCTACACTTCGTTGGAAACAAAATGTAGGCAGTTCCACACTTGTGTAATCCTTTACTTTTCTCTTCTGTCCCAGAAGCCATCACTCTAGTTCATGTAAAATTTGGATAGAGTCCTAGAGTATGACGACAAAGTATGGTTGAGCAAACTGCATGGGGTTTGGTCTGTTTCTGTTACTCATGTGCTCATGGAACCTACTACAAGTAACCAATACTTGGGTTGCCACAGTAGCCAGCAGGTAAATTGAAGACCCAACATTCACTCAATTTTGAGAATTGTTTGGTGGATTCATCATTTATGTTAGCTTTTTTAGAACTAATGTTAGTTTAAAAACATGTGCCTGGCAAATCCATAGAAAGTATGTAGGCTGCCTCAAGTGAATCTATTAAAGCAAAGAAAAAAAACATTCTGAAGTTATTGTCATGTTTCGGTTGTTCAACAACAAAAATGTTTTATGCATAATAATTATGGAAAATCATCAATAATCTGTGAGAACATGAAATTATTCATATTAGCTCTAACTCTAGTTCTGTCAAATATCTGGTTTCAAAAGGTTGCTTGGGTTCATTTAAGGTTTTCCTGTTGCAGCTAAATAGCTAGTAGTCATCTTGATTCTGTTCCTTGGACACATTTCTGTGCACTTAGTTACAACCATTATAAATGAATTCTTTTTGCTGCATATTTGTTTTGAAGATTTAAATACTTTGGGTTCCCCATTGATGTGCTTTAATGCTGGTTTGCTGTGATTGCACCTTGATAATCTGCAGCATTTTATCTGTCGTGTTTTGATGCCTGGAATTTGCATACGGTGCCTTTTGTTTTGCTCCAGGATTGAGTTGCTTTAGTTCATGATACTTAAGATGGATCCTTTCCTTACGGATACTTTTTAAATATCCCAGATTTGCATGGCACCAATTAGTTCACGCTAAATTCTTAGTCAATTTCTTACTACGTCCTACAGGTCACACCAGATGCACATTTCAAGAATGATCTTGGTCTAGACAGTTTGGACGCAGTGGAGGTTGTCATGGCTTTGGAAGAGGAATTTGGTTTTGAGATACCTGACAATGAAGCTGACAAGATCGACTCCATTAAAGTTGCAGTTGATTTCATTGCTTCACACCCCCAAGCAAAATGAGCAAATCAATTGTGTTATACTCGTTAATTTTCTATGTTTTGTTGTCACGGAGCCTGTCTAAGGTGGAAGTCATCTGCTGTCCGCATGATGTCCACTTTTGCAATCAGCATTGTACCAATGCTACCGTTCTGAATATTTTCTTCTGCCTGTGGGTTTTCTGGACCAAATAATACTTGATTCTGAGGCGGCAGCCCGCCATCTTGTATGGAGATTTCGCTGGATATCAAAGGTTTAGTTTCATGCCAAGAGTCTCACTGATTCTGTCTTTTTCCATTTTCTTAGATTTTGGTGATATGATTACATGGCTTTGCACATAATTCCCAAACTGCATGCTTGGTGCAATCCTGAACCGTGGATTGGTGTTTACCACTGAAGGATAAATATGTTTTGATAACTGTAGCATGCATGTCTATGTAGAATGCACAAATCACAAGCTGAAGAGCAGTTGGTATGGACTGGAACAGCAACAAGATTGAATCTTGCCACAACTTCAGCAATCGAGTTAAAACATACTTCCTCCGTTTTACAATGTAAGTCATTCTAGCATTATGTCTAGATTCATTAGCATCAATATGAATGTGGGAAATGCTAGAATGACTTACATTGTGAAACGGAGGGAGTATATATATATTTTTACAGGAAATACCTCACGGCCCAGCTTATATTGAAAGCCACAAACGAGTTAAAACAATTTCGACTGTGACCTTTTAGTCTAGAACATAAATTACTTCACTGCACTCTACAGCTACACGCTAACACCAATGATATGGTGCGCATAAATGTCCGTGCATGTAGTTGTAGTGTGTGATCACTGCAGGCTGGTGCATGAGTGCGTCATGTCCATGCCCTAATGAGTCCATTCCTGTGGTAGAGCGAGCTCTGGGCACGGGCTGGTGGTTGCCGCTGGAGCACCGGCGAGCTGCTGCATGTTTGCCGCCATTGCTCGCGTGAGCTCTTGCTGCCTCCTCGCCATGGTCGTCGCCGCAGCCGCTGCCTCGTTGCCTCGCCGGTGCCTTTGTGCCCGACACTGCCTCGGTGGAACATTGGTAGTAGGGGGGCCTCGCCGCAGCCGCCGTCATGTGGTGGTTCGCGTGGCGGGGGTCGGCGGCCGTGGTGCGCGGCAAGAAGAAGCCTGTGCCGCTGCTGCGCCGCGTCGTCACCGGCGGAGCTGCTCCGGTGACGGCGCCGCCACGGAGTAGCGGGTGTGGGTGGTTCATCGCCGGTGGCGGCGCTGGGCGCAGAACCATGGTGTTCCTTGGGCCACCCGTCATGACATGCCACGGCGCGGCCGGCGCTGGCAATGGCAGTCGACTATTCCCAACAAGTCGCAGTTGCAGCGGCGGCGTGGCGGCCACCCTTGGACGGCCGGCGCCCGCGAGGGCGTGATGGTCCCTAAGCATTTCACCACCATCCCCGCCCGTCACCTGTGGTCGATGGTGACAAGAGAAGAGAGGGCGCTGGGCCTGGCGAGGTCGATCCTCGACGATGGCGAGGCGGCGGCGCTCGTCGGCATCTGCGATCCCGATGTCCCTGAGGACCTCCGACGGCAGCCACCGGTGGACGTCATCCATCTCGTGCATGTAAACGCAGCAGCGGTCGGCCATTGCCGGCAAAGCTAGCTTGAGCTTGAGCTTGAGGAAGCCGATGAGTCGACGCTGGATCGGGCTAGACGAAGCTTGTGCTTCTTGTTGGTTGCAACTACGTAGGAGAGGTGAGGAGGAAGAAGAGATGCTTTGAGGTGTGGAGAATGATGGGGGTCAAAGGAGTTTATATAGAGAGGTGAGAGCTGGACTAAAGAGGAAGGAGATAAATAGACATGCTCCAAATAAACATGTTTTTTTGTTGGCTATTTTTTTCTTCGTACCTAGCTAGATTTTTTTGCTATTTTTTCTTGATGGTTTTTAATGTGTTTTTGGTGTTGAGAATGCCATTTACATGCACGTATTGTTGTCTGAAAAGAAGCACACTTGAAAATGAGCTAGCTGAACTGAAAGTTGCTATAATTAGATTTTTACTGCATGGTAATTTCTTTTTTTTTTTTTTAGTTTCAGATCTCTAGACATGAGGGGGAAAAAAGAAATCGACGCGGTTGGTGTGCTCTGGGCTATTGTTGTGGCAAAATGGCTGATTGTTCATCTTGGGAAGTGAAGTAATTAAGGAGAAATTTCAATACATATACATATTTAATGTTTTATTTTTCTATTCTTAAAGTCGAAAACGAGAGTCTCCTACCGCAATATATACATACAATAGAACAATATAGAAGGAAAAGTTACAGTTACAAAGCAAATAAAAGAAACAATTTTAAATTATTGGATCCAAACCCAGATAAAGTAAGGTTTTAAGACTGGATTGTACTTCCAGTCATATTTTAATGCCAAAGTTTTACTTTCGATCACTCTTAGTCCAATCACTAGATAACTTTATATTTGTTACTCTGTTCCACCCCTGGTCTCTTCTCTAGCTATATCTATCCACTTATCCTCAAATGTATGTCTTGCCTATAGGTGAGGGGAGATCGCTAGGGCGAAACCGATACGCTCGGGATTGTTGATATAAATGAAAAGATTGGATAAAGTGTAGTCTAAAGTAAAACTTTGATAATAAAAAATGACTCAAATTGTAATTTACCCTTTTTAAAAGTGTTTTAGAAAAAAAACTCTACCGCTAGTGTGTTTCATCTTCATGTATTGGGAAGTCCTAGCGTTTTCCTCTCTTCATATTTCCGGGATAACTACATATGATTCCTTTTATGGTTGTCTTGTTGCTAGAGCTATCTTCTCGTACAAGCGCTTAGTAAAAGTTGTAACGGCACCGTTGCATCCATATTGTCAGGTGGAGAAAAGCAAAAGTACCAAGTCTCGTAGTTTAGATCGACTCTTTTTAAACTCGTAACCATAACAAGTCAAGTCAAGTTGGGATTATATGTGGCTTGACTAGGAGCATAATATGCTTGAACTTTCATGAAGGTGCTCTTCGTTTTGGAAACAAAAGTAGACTAATACTACGATAATCAATCTACTCGATGAAATGAGAAGTGTCAATACACTTACATACTCCCTCCATTCTTCTTTACATGATATCGTAAAACTAGTGCCATACTTCATGAACTAATATAAACAGTTAATATATATATCACATAATTTTAAAAAATGTATAGCACACAATTCTAAGAAAATGTATTGCACGATTAGTTCATTATCAATGTGGTATGAGTGTGGCTCGAGTCTAATAATGGGAAATGTTTGATTGAAAATGTCAATCTACAAAATATTTTCACAATCATGCCAGTAAAAATGTTCCCACCATAACTTAAAACCAGTTTTGGAAACAAAACCTTTGATGGCTGGCTTCTCACTGGAATAATTAGTAACAGGTTAATTTTACATTCATACTTAGCTTAGTTATCTTCAGGAAACATATACCTCTCATCTTGTGTGGCAGGCTAGCAGCAAACATAGTTTTGATTAAAAAAGGAACTTAGTTTTTGATTGGTGAACACGTGTGCATCTTTTGGAACAAGATTTTCAATAGTGCTAAAAGTTCAAAGCCTCTTATGGTGAGAATATATAGGGCCAACGGGTACCTAGACGTCTATAGTGCAACCACATGATCCAAGGGTTGAAAAATCTGCAGAAAGTGGAACTAGCAGAATATCTGCTAAGTAACGTTAATTGCTCCATCAACTTAGAATTATTTAGTAGAAACAATAAAACCGTCACACTTATTACGCCTTTAGGTGGAACCACAATTATATAAGCTAGTGCAATTACCGTTACTTGATAGAATATCTGCTAAGTAATAGTAATTGCTCCATCAACTTAGACTTATTTAGTAAAAATAATACAACCGTCACATTTGTTACGCCTTTATGTGGAACACACAAGGTGCAACTTATTCATCACGATCAATTATTCACCACATTTATGACTAGAGATAGATAACATCATCAGTTGAAAAGATTAATTCGACCAGATATGTAAAAATCGAAGCTGATCAATGCAATAGTGGTGATCTCATCGTAATCACCAACTCCGTATGTTGTTCCTCATCATCATGGAGGCCTCTTCCTCCTCTTGGCGCCTCGGCTGCTACTTTGACAACCACTGCTGACGCTTGACATGACGAGGCGTTTTTGTCGCCCTAGGCGCCTTGCTTGTGCGTTTGTTATACGCCTCGGTGTGTGGCAAGAAAAACCCGGTGCCACCGGCATCGCGCTGCTTTGTGGGAGGAGGTGGCAAGGCTGGGGCACTGGTGGCTACCAGCAGCAGTGGCGTCCTCATCTCCGGAGCAAGCCTTGGCGGTGCAATAGGCACCCGATCTAGCATCATGCCACCGTTGCTCATGAACGGCCTCACCCCCATTGATGGTGGGGCATGGTAGCATTGGTATTTGTTGTCCACCATAGCTGGTAGAGGACCAACAGTAGCATGGTGTTGTGTCGTCGTTCTTTGCACAGCGCTGCCAAAGAGGACATCGGCAAGACAAGCGGCGAGGTCCTCGACAATGGCGCGGCGACCCTCACAAGGGTCGATGACGGCTCCAATGTCCCTGAGGATCTCCGATGGCAACCACTGGTGGACGTCGTCATCCTCCTCACTCGCGCCGTAGAAGCTATCAGCCATTTCTGGTATATAGGTTGAGCACTTGAGCATGAGCAAGAAGAGAGATTTGAGGTGTGGAGATGGAGAGGTAAGGGTATGTTTATATAGATAGGTGAGGAACAATAACTATAGAGGGCAGGATATTAGTAGGCATGTTTCTTTCCTCAATCTTATAAAATGAACATGTTTTTCAATTACTGATTTTTTCCCTTCTTAATTGTGGGTGTTTCTTCTCTTCATTTACTTTATGCCTTCTATGTATTTTTGGCGATGATAATGTGCTTCATATGTTTCATTCAAAAGTATACATGGATTATCTAGAGAGTAGTGAAAGGCGCTAATGCGCTATACTTAGATATTGATGCATGTAATATATTTTTCACTTTATTAAATTTTCAATTATTTGCAGTACGATAAAGAGAAACATGTGGGCAGTGTGCTCTCTGCCTCTGTTGTGTCAAAATGAATTCTCCTAACTATATATTGAATTCCCTTCGAAAGAGAATTAAGCAATGGATAACGACATATCACATGCAAATTGTTGTACTTGCTGGTGAAATAATGCATCAGCACATAAAGACAACTGCACATTTTCGTTCACAAGAAAATAATCTATACATTTCCATTAGTAAATACAATTGCACAAAAAAAACATATGTGCACATTTCATTCACATAAAAATGTTCTGCACATTTTCCATTCACACAAATCTATACAAAAACTGAAATACATATTTACACATTTCGGCACATTTCACTGAATCATTTTTACATTGCTCATATGTGCACAAGCTTTGCATGTAACACATTTCTAGACAAAAAAATGTAACACATTTTCTGATATGGGCGGTCAAAGCAACTGCTACTTTGGATTTCTAGATCAAGCTAGCACTTTGATGGCTGGCTTTTCATAGGAAAGAGGGAGGAGGGGATGCGGGCGGAGGCGGGTAGGGTTTTGGGCTAGTGGGTGCCATTTTGTGAAAAAACCCCTCAGCTTCCATATTTTAGAGTCCAGGCCTACTTCGCGGTTTTCCTCCCCTTTGCATGGAATATCCGGATTTCCGAAGGGCCTAAACGTAAAAAGCCAGCTCAAAGGGACGGTTGGTGAGGGACGCCGGACGAATTACGAACAAAACGGAGGGTCTTTTCACAAAATTTCCACCCTGTGGGTACTGCAGCGATGGTAGCAAAATCTGACGTGGCACACCCCATCGCGTGCCCAGGCTGCGACCCTTTATTTTCTCCGATATGCTACTCATGTGACTCATAGGTTCAATTCTAATTCATGTTTACACATCTTCACTAAACATATAGCTCTAATATTGTGTGACAGGCTGGCAGCAAACATGGTTTGAACAGAAAATGTTTTTGAATGGAGATAAATTCAGCGAAATGCAACTTTATAAGAGATCAAGAGGCTGGTAGGCAATATGTTCCCAAGGGTACAAGTTCAAATCCTCTTATGAGTTATGACTTATGAGGGGCTGGTGGGCACCTAGATGATGGTAGCAGAATCATGTGACCCAAATGTCCAAAGTGCCTCGAGGGTGGAACTAGCAGAGTTCCACTAAGTAAAACCGACATACTTGTTATGAAACCTATTTTATTCTGGACGAATCAAGATATGAGTGGAAAGCTTATTACAGAAGAAAGCTTATACCAGAAGATATCTTATCACGGAAGGAAGCTTGCGGCGTAAACAAGCTTGTAGGAGAAGCAAGCTTGCCGCAAAAGCCAGCTTGTGGGAGAAGCAAGCTTACGGTGTAAGCCAACTCACAGTGGAAGCCGGAAGCCAGCTTGTGGGATACGCAAGCTTACAGTGTAAGCCAACTTACAACTTACAGTGGAAGCCATCAACCTCCTCTGCCTATAAATAGGATCCTAAAGGTCCAAGGTGATATTGACTGCTCTTCGACACTTCCTGCCTTCCATCCTATAGCTTGTACTCAAATTCAGAAGAAATAAAGTTTCTACTCACTCGTACTTTCGATATTCTACAGCTTCTGTGTTTGTCTGCTCGTGTGTTTTTCGGCAGAATAGACCGGTTTCTCAACGATACTTAGGCCCCGTTTGTTCTCTCCAACTGGAGAGATATTTCCAGCACACGCAAAACGAGAAAACTCACTAGCACATGATTAATTAAGTATTAACTATTATAAAATTGAAAAAAATAGATTTATTTAATTTATTAAACAACTTCTATATAGAAACTTTTGTCAATAACGCACAATTTAACGGTTTAGAAAGCATGCTAACGGAAAACGAGGAAGTTAAAGTTTGGAGTTGAGAAAAAGAACCGAGCCTTATTACCACTCCCTCTCAACATAGACTTGTTTAGTCAAAATAAATAAAACCGACATACTTATTACGCTTTTCGGTGAAACCGCACTTCCGTGAATACGATATCATGACCAACCATTCCCTACATTTTATGACTAGAGCAACATAACATCATTAGTACATATGATTAATTCGACGAGATATGTAAAACCCAAGCTGATGGTATCAACTCTCCCACAACTCAGTAAACCCATTCTCGAGGGAGGGCGAGCTTGCCGCATGCTTGAGGCAGAACGGTGTTCGAATTCACCGTCCACGGACGCCAATTCTCATCATGGCTGCCTCCTCCTCGTATTGCTGACGCTCTTGACATGGACGAGGTGGCCGCTTCACGCTGGCCAACCCTGACATCCCCATGGCCACATTGGTGGATCGCCCGGTTATCGTATGCCTTGGCTCTTGCAGCAAGAAAACTCCGTTGCATCCGGCATCACTCCACTTAATTTGCAAGATGGGGTGTCTGCAGGGTGCCAGCGGCGCTAGCACTGGTTGTGGTGACCGCATCACCGGAGCAAAACCTCGGCGGTGCAACAAGCACACCAGATTTTCATCGTTTCTCATGAACTGCCACACTTTCATCGGTGGTGGGGCACAAAATTTTTGACCATATGAGTTGGCCGACCTAACCAGAGAGGGGTGGGAGCAAGAAGGACAATGGTGAGACGTGCGGCGAGGTCCTCGACGATGGCGAGGTTGTGCCCCTCAGCTGCACGTTTGTCGAAAAATGCTGATGTCCCTAAGGATCTCCAACGGCAGCCACTGGTGGACATCGTGGACCATTGCTTTCTACGCTTCTTTGGAGGAAGAGAGGCTTTGAGGTGTGGAGAATGGAGGGATCATTGGATGAGTTTATACAGAGAGGTGATG